GGGGGGGGGGGGGGGATGGTATTTCGTCAAGAGCTTCCATATAACTTCTTTTCCCGGGGTACCATCGGGATACACATTTAAAAAAATAACTGCTTATCCTAAATAAATCCAGTTCTAGGAGAAGCCCAAGTTTTACCAGCTGTTTATGATTCCGGGACAGTACTTGTAATTAATTTTATTGTGTGATTCAGTCACGCTATATCTGTACCTTTTTACATTAAAAATAAAGATAAATAAATAAAAAAAAAAATTAAAAAAACTTATCTTTTGGCAGGCGCCCATGATCGAACGAAACGGGAAGACACAGACCAATACTTTGAAATCTCACAGCTCTACGTTCACAAGCGATATCAAACAGACTCTGGCTATGGTCACGACATCGCACTTATCAGACTGTCAAGGCCGGCGGTCCTTAACAAGGGTGTTGGTTTGGTGTGTCTCCCGGAACAGGACAGTAGAGTTGCCGTCCATACCGCGTGCTACTTGACAGGTAACGCTGCATTAAGCAGTATATTATTCTTCTTACCAACAGAGATCGATCACGGCTTCTAGTTGAGACATGAGTGTATTTATCGTCAAGAAAACATGTCGTTAAAGTAAAGAAAAACCACTTACAAGGAGGTAGAGTTACTATCTTGCGGTAAATTTAAAGATTCACAACAATATTGATACAGCCGCAAGACGAGCAGAAACGGATAATCGGAGAAATGTTTTTCTTAAATGCCTGATATTTATATATAGATATATATCTATTTTTTTTTTTTTTTCATAAAAATAAGGTTTTGCTCAGTGAAGGAGGCTGCTGTCAATTGGAATCAAGCATTCGAAACCACTGAACGCTTGTCGCAAATATGCAAAATTGTTGTTGCCACAGAAGAGAACAATGGTTACGAACAAAAGGTTTTGTAAACAGGTTTTGTCCTTGCCAAGGGAAGGACGGCGGGCCTTTTAGAGTTCTGCACGATTTGACAAAACCTATTTGTTCCAGTCCAAGTAAGATCGCTATTTTCTTTCGATTATTTTCATTAGTGAAAAGCCGTGTAGCCTTGTGCATGTACGAGGTGGACCAGTCATAGAATACGGTAATAAAATCATATGAAGACTCCGGTGCGCAAGTTGATCGCCTGAAGGGCAAATGTTATTGTTGTTTGCGTCAAAAAGCTTACGTCGCTATTGTGGTCGCAACAGCTGGCGCATTGGTCAACCCACAGGCGTTTCTTTTTTTGCTCCGAGTTATTTTTCTTCGGGTGCGCGAGAGCAGCCGCGAGGCGGTTGCAAAAAAAAAATCTATTTTGTCTTTCTCCAGGGTCACTCCCTTGCGTTCGGACTGTTCTCAAATCCCCTGCGGTTAATACTTTTGCTAATTGCGATCTAGACGAATTCAAGACAGAATAGAAGGTCTGGAATCTGTGGGCAGACTACTGGTGCATTGATGATGACCCTCCCCCCGGCTATGTTGATGTGTACATATTGAACTTTACTGTTGAAAATTATTATTAGTATAAAATCCAGAAACAAGGCATGTATGTGTATAAATCCTTTATGAAGAGTCATTAATCCATCAGTCTCTCTCTTCCTGCTACTTTCCCGAGGAGGCGGTACTCTACAAAATTTTTATACGGGGTGCTCCGCCCCGAGGTTCATCCCCTTACATTTTGTATACCACTTTGACAGGAAAGGCACCCCTTTTGTATGCCTTAAATTGAAAAAAAAAATGTACTCGTTTCACATGCTTTCATAACTGGCCCGTATCATGAATAAATCACCAAAACAGGAAATCTTGTCATTTTCATGTAGTGCTTAATAATTAAATGATACAGCCATAAGGTGCGTAACTAAATGACAGATTTCCCTACCCTTTCAGATACCTTAACTTGTGAAATCCCCACCCTTTTATAGATCTAAAGGCTTAAAAAGATACCCCCTTCGGGCTGGGCCTCCCCGTTTAGGTCATTGTAGAGAGAACCCCCCCCCCCTCCCCCGGGCTGGGGGCTACTTTAATAGCTTTACCCGGATTTTCAGTTACTTTACTTTTCATTCGGGTTTTTAACTTAAATAAAAATGGTTAATCGCAGTAGCAAGAAAGAGTCACAGAAACGCTACCAAGCCTTAACTGTACGCCGGGATAGTTTAATCGAGAAGATAACAGTGTTTGAACGTGAACGTGGAGAAGCCGTTATTTTGGGTGGTCACGCAACGCATCTCCCTGCAAGTGGGGTAAAGCGTTGCGTGACGGCCGAAATCAGTAACGGCGGCGAATGACAGTAAAATGTTGAGAAATGTGTTGGCGGCGATTTGGCGATAATTTTGTTCCCGGGGTTTGCCCCTTCCCTCGGGCGCTCATATTAGTGAGATCAGTCACCATCAGTCAACTTTCAGGCGTCAATACATTATTTCAGAAAAAATGCTGATGACCTGCAAATTCCCCGCATTGGGTTTGTAAATGTTAAGGCGCCCTTCGTTACGGTAACACTAGTTAACGTTCATTGTTAGTGTCGCTGAAGGTCTGAAGTCATTGAAGGTCAGAGAGAAGGAGCTCGAGATCTTGAGAGCAAGCGAAGAAAGTCGTCGATCGCGCTTTTCTCTTCGTAAAGCGCCTCTGGAGTGTAACAGTCAACATGAAGCCAATGCCATAGTTCTAGCAAAGTGGGCAGCGGATGAGCAACACTTCATGGCTATGCCCCTGGGGCAGTCTGACGACGGCGATAATCCCGGCGGGGACCAGAATGCAATGTCTGCAAATAACAAAGGTACGTGAACGGTTGATTAGGTTCTACTTCTGGTCTAATACCTGCAGGTGTAAAATCAAAGCTAACTAAAGCCGAATATCATTTTGATTTCTCTAGAAGCAGAATTCCGCTAGCCTGNTTCTACTGTACAAATAACAGTAGAATATCGCTGTATATTTGTACTGTTATTTGGATGGTATTCACTGCAGTTGGATAATAATATGGTGTAACTGTTTAAGAAAGCTATTTTTACCATTATTCCTCGTTTGAGAAGTGCGATTTATGGCTATCAACACAAAACTAAGCAGTTCTTTGGTTTGGTCATGCCTGAATTTTGTCTCGGGTTTGAAACATGATATGGGGAAACTTGCATATGTTGGTCTGAAATGGGACAAATGTTTCAAGAAGCGTACCGACCACCCCCACCCTAAGGTTTGGTAGTACCTCCCCCGGAGAAATAAAGTGCATCCTAGTTCAGTGATTGATGCCGTTTTCGATGTTTGGTCTGCGAGAACCTCAATGTTTCACAACAAACCGCTTGCCGGCAACTCATGTTTCGAGATTGTGCGATAATATCCTCGCCATTGTAATCTGAGGGCAAGAGGCATGATTATCCTCAGGAAACGATCGAAGTTTAGCGGCTGACCGGACGTTTTAGTCCCAGTCGCTTGTAACTTGCGACCATCATCGATGGATTAACGCTTCCAATACATCAATGAATGAAGGTGAGCTCTGATTAAGAAATACAGCTTGGTCCAGTTTGCAAGCGTGCAATGCCTACAATAGCTATAATGGCGGACAGTTTTCGAACCTAAGTTTCGCGTTTTCTAGCTTTCAAAATTGCGGCAAGGATTAGTTCTGTAGAGCTGTCATTCTTGGACGCGTAGTCGGTCGTGTTTTGCGTTGTATCAGGGGTCAAATCCACAGTTAGATTCTGCAATGGGACATATCAAGGTGACGGTTTATTTGGGAAATGTCATTAGCTCTCGAGTGAGTTGATTGTGCATGACGTCATTTTGTTATGTTTTTGTTCGAGTATGTTCTATTTTGTGATGAGTTTTAGAAAGCTTCAGTCTAGCAGATCGTGTATAAGTTGTGGCATTTGTTACTCCATTCTGTTCAGTAGTGTTGAACAGATCAAACCCCGTCTTAAAAGCCCTCTCCGAGTGTGACAGGCTGTTGTACACGTCTTTTTTTCAGTCCTCTTCGTGACGTGGCCTGACTAGCGATCTGATTGGTTGCCCAAAAAAATCGTCCCTTGGCAAACACGTGTAAATTCACGTGTAAGTTTGTTGTTTCACCTTCCGAGAAAAGTGCAGCGTCAAACAAGCTCACGCGCTTAACTGGTTGCGTTGAAACGTGTTATAAAAGGTTCGTGTCCTCCCTTAGTTTGCCGATCCTTTCCAGCGAGGGAAACATTTAGAAACAAGAAAAGAAGGTACAGTTGGACCCGACTAATTCGAACTCGGTTATTTCGAATTACTGTTATTTCGAACTCTTAATTATTTCCCTGGGATCTGCCCTTCAGTCATTAACTATCGGTTATTTCGAGCTCCCGCTATTTCGAACTATTTTTTTGTTTCCCCTGAGGGTACGAAATAGCGAGGTTCAACTGTACTAGGTATTTTGCGTGACGAGTCTGGTGAGGTCACGTAAGAGTAGCTTTTAGGAGCTACCCGTCTTTGAAAAATATTTGGTCCACATACATGCATGAAGGCCAAACTTTTTCATGTTCGTTCTTATTCCGTAGACACGTCCTTCTTCCGTTTAGATTCGTTTCACGAAAAACAATATCGTGGCTTCACTCTGGGTGCTGTTCACCTCAGGTTATCTGAACAGGAGCTTTTTGATCAGAAAAAAAAAAGATCAAAAGCGCGCGCGCACGAATCACCATTTGTATCCCGTGTCCTCTTGTGTGGCAATTTTTGTTGTCGTTGGTATACACACGCCCAGCTGGCTGACACTGAGAAACATTAAGGATTACTCGTAATTTGTAAGCTACATGTACTGTTATTCGTTTCGTGTTGCGTGACCAACCGAGCGCATTTCGACCCAAATTTGCGCTCATATCACCGTTTCAGGAGCGTGGAAGATGCATAGTTACAAAGAAAGAGGAAGAAGTCTAGACTTAATTGTCAGATTGTATCGCTAAATCGATGGTCGCTGAGGCAAAACGAATTCAAAGTGAACGATATATAGATACAGTGGAACCTCGATTTAACGAACCTGTATTTAACGAAGTCCGCAGGGACTATAATAAGTGAAGCGCTTCATAGAAATATTAAATCAATTCTGTGGTGTTTGATCGCAGGTAAAAATTACATTCAGGTATGTATCGACGGAATGGGGGCTATCCCCGGCCCGTAGCCCAGCGACATCTTGCTCTTCCCCCCTTGGGAGTACCCCTTCCCCCTAGAAAGAAAAAGCTGGAGTTGCTATCGGCAACACTTTGAGCAACTCTTAACTCTTCAAACTACATTTGATGTACTGTAAGTCATGGCTCAAAGTGTGTTCTCATTACCGACTATCTGTTGGTTTTCTTTTGGCTATCAGAAACAAATTAACTCGCATTTACTGCATTCTTAAACGGTTTTAGCTAGTTTTATTTTCCCCCCTCGTCAATCGCACTTTTCAACCGTTGCATTACATTGTAATCTAACTTGTTTGCGGGCGATTTTGTCAAGCTGTTTTTAACATGATCCTCCAATGACTTAGGAAATTACCCAAGCACTCTCCGCTTCACTGACCTACTTATTTTACTTCGGACAATGTTGTAGTTTCTGCCCGAAATTGCCTCAAATTCACCTCGGATTTTATGTGCTGTAACGCAAATGAGAAAAGCTAACCGTGAAATAGACTCTTTAAACAGACAACATCTGTTGCAATCAGAGCTTTGACTGAAACTGTAGCTTTTGTTAGCTGAGTTTGACCTCTCGAATTCCTAAGTTGTGCCAGCCCTCGCAAATCTCTACTACATTCCTTTCACGCGTGGAAGGAAACAGCTGACGATGGTTTGCATGAAAGCAAACTACAGTCTGCGAAAGAGTTTCACGAATCAGTCTCTTGATCCAACTAGTGTCACACTTTGCTAGAACTTTCCTCAGCTAGACATCCAAGGACAGCGTTTAGTTCTGATAGGATATATTGATAATTCAACAGAACATGCAAGAGTTTGTCATTTCTCGTTGGCTTTTGTCGCGGGACGGCTAGGAAATGTGCTTAGATTATAAACCACCGCGAGTACCAGTTGTTCGGGACGTTTTCTGGCATTGTTGTCGTCGCGAACGCGTAAACTTCCAATTTGAGACCATGTCCCACGTGGTGATGAACGCACGTTATCGGAAAACTCTACAACCCTTTATTGTCGCGAAATCTGGAAATCACCGTACGCCAAATCGATCCATTTTGTCGAGTATAAAAACGGAGCCGGTGAGGGATAATTTTTGTTGCGTGTTTTACTTTAAGTTTCTGTGATTGACTTTCGTGTTCTTACGATATTTGCGCACAGAAAAGCCAACTGCACACTCGCGAAATACAGAAATATCTTGCTCGGGTTTAGTTTAGGCGACATACGTGATCAGTTTGTTGAGCATTACATGTCTACGTTAATCCTTTCATGTTGTTCAGTTGTTCTTGAGGATTGCCGATGTGATTGAGCCACCCAAAGGACGAGAAGTCAAATTTGTATCTCCTATCCGTCTGTTTTTTGCACTCTTGGAACTTTAAGGGGCATTGTGTAGCCTACTAGACAGTGTTTAGGTCTAATTTGATTTCGTTGTCTTGAACTGTTTATCTAGCTCTTTTAGGTCTTACAGAACGAAGCCATCTCGCGATCGCACGGGCAATCCGAGCAATGGTTTTATGAATTATTTCCCCAAAAAAGAAAGTTAAGTGTGATACCTGTTTCTGGTCCCGGGAAAAATGTTCTGTAGCGCTGAGGACGTTGGCTTATACCTCAAAAATGCTCACATCCCATTGCTGTTTCCTCATCTCCAAACCGGCTCACTGCCTTTTATTCTGCACAGTCCGAAGCGATGAATCGATTGGCTCAGAAATCAATGGCTTCAAAAGTTCTTTCGATTACGCGTGCAACTTTGTTCACGAGCATAATTTGAAAACACGTGTTGCGCGTGTTAAATGGTTGTACACGTGTACACGTGTATTCAAGACGCACGGGTTGTTTTGTCTACGAGGGGTTGAGTCGAGACTCGCGTTCTGGGGGGCTCACGAGGGTGCTTCGCAAACCACCAGAGCAACGTGAACGTCACCCGCAAGCAAAACGTTTATTTAATAAAGTAATGGTTCTGCGTTATATATAAATTTTCTTGGCCGTTCTCTGAAAATTATGAAAGTTTGCGTATTTTGGAGAGACGAAGCCAGGACGTCTAATTTTTGGTGTTTTGGAAGTAAACGTTAGCTTTATTTATATAGCTTACCGTGACAACCCAAGGAACGGTGGCGAAGGAGAGAGGGATTGGAGAAACTTCGCAGAATTGTCCGGCGAGCAGCGATGTATGTTTTTCTGACAGGATGCGGAATTTTCGAGCAGTGTGTAATCAAATCAGAGCAAAACGTTTTATGAAAACAGCGGAAGTAAAATCAGATTGTTTTGATAACATGCCACTATGTGAAGCTACCTTGTGGTAGAGAAACCACAGATCATATAAACTACAGTTGACTTCCGATAACTAGAACTCTCAAGGCAAAGCCAATGACAGAAAAGTGAGAAGTGACATGGTATGCATTGGAACGAGGTAAATTACAAAGATAGACCGGGTTTATCTGAAACGATGTTTTGGCTTCATAGCTGCAAATCATAACATATCTGATGGGAATGAAATAAAAACAAAACAAAACATCAGAAGAATATAATGGCGCGTTACTGCAGTACATAGCTGCAACGAGTTCCCATTCTACTCTCAAATAGTTTGTAAAAAGTCGCTGTACAGCCAATCTATGTCTGTCGTTGATTCTGGAGAGATTTGACTCAACAGTCTGTGACAAATGTGGTTCGAGTTATCGAGGGTAAATTTATAAAGAAAACGACCTGAGTGGTAATTCACTTCGAGTTGGCGATCGGCTCGAGTTATCAAGGAATCGAGTTACCGACGCTAAAATTACAGAAAGTGAAAGCAGCTCCAGGGGAAATCAACTCTGGTTCGAGTTCACGCAAGATTCGAGTGACCAGAGGTTATCAGGGGTTATTGTTAAATCAGTGGCATCATTATGAAAGAGTGAAGGCTGCAATATGTCAGTTTTCCAATAGTCGCTCAGAGTCTAGATATAGATATTACGGAGTTTTAGTAAACCACGACGGCGACGGCAACGAGAACGTCACCAAACAAAAGGTTTATTGAGCAGAACAATGGTTCTGCACGTGCGTTTTGAATCTTTGTACATTTCTTTGCCGTCCTCTGCAAAACAACAACGTGAAATGACACAATGTCGTACGTATTTTGGAGAACGTGTACCGCAATGGCTAATTTTTCGTGTCTTCTTTGGAATTGAACGCTGTCATTACATATTAAGCCTTAGCAGGGTTTTAGACCTATAGGCGTACTGAACAGATCTACACAGTTGCGACACTCGAGGGTAAAATTTAAATCCATTTTTTACAAGGAATCGCCCTCGGCGTCGCCGTCGGCATTGCTAAAACTCCCTAATAAATTTCTAAGGCGAGGGAGTTATAATTCACTATTTCTGTGCTAACTCTAAGTTGCAGTAAAATGGACATAATTATAGTACAGATTTGAAACAGAATGGTCATTGTGGTCATCCCGACTTAAATGATAAACAGCGAAGATCTTTCCTCGCATTTATTTTTCCTATAGATCGAGAAAAGAGTATACGATTAACTTAGGGTGCTAAGCGGAAAAAAAAATCGCTTTCTTTTTGTGTGTAGGAGCAGCTCAGCCCAATCCTTCTAATAACAGTTCTGATGCGCCGGACAGAGATGGCGGGAGTGAAGGAAGAGACATGGACCAAGAATCCTTTGTATGTGTATTTGTTTTTCAATCGTTGTTGTTGTTGTTGTTGTTGTTGTTGTTGTTGATGATGATGATGATGATGATGTTGTTGTTGTTATAGATACTCCCATTCTAACCTCCTTTCTTGAACTTATATAGGAGGTACGTCACGGTTTGTGCACCGTGAAAAGTTTAGCCTAAAGTTTTCAAGTTCGTTGTTTGTAATCCGTGTTAATCTTCTCCACCCTTAAAGTGTATATGACACAATTTTTTTTTCGCTGATTCTGGTCGTTAATAATGTTAGAAAAACGGTTGTAAAGTTTTTAGATCGTGAAAATATTTTGAAACCCCTTTTTTT